TGCTATAGCTTATATCCCTGTAAAAGCTAACGGCATTGCGGATGCCGTTAACCGGTGGCCGTGAAATCAGCCGCTCGGTGGTTTATTGAAACCGGCTGAATTATTGCACTTTATACAGCACATGACCAGAAATCCGGTTTTGAAGGTGAATATCCACCGTGAGACAGAGCATGATGTACTCAAGCAAAGTTGAACAATGAGACAATGGACTTATTGCGGATAAGAAAGCACATGCCTAAGAGTTTCCGTAGGTAGTGAGATCGAAGACGAATACATCAAGCAAAAATAACGCGTAGCAATTGAATTAACGCAAATTTCACGTGTACACTAAGTTTGGTTACGTTGTCCCGTGTCCCAGTGACTTGTTTTACGTCATGCAATACAGGTGATGTAATGCATCATCAAGTCGGGTTTCAAATTTCGCTAACGTAGGAATGGAGAATGTGGTAGTACATTCCACTACTGAGATGCACGAGGTAAGGAAAGATTCCGGCGGCATTCTAACCGGCCGTACTTCAAATGGTGACCTCTCAATGAGCTGTTAGGACTGAGTTTCATTAAGGGTCAGCATGGGTGATTAAGATTCTTGATTGTCTTGAAGGAACTTTATATTCCCACGGTTTCTCTCATTATGTTGTGCAGGAGAGGTAGTGTAATGGATTTCAGATCCATCTGGTCGATCTTTCCCGACTGAGACCACGCACTTGTCTGTGTAAACATGTTCGTGAGTTTCGGAGAGTCCCCGAAAACGAAGCAAGGATACTTCGATAGAAATGAACCATCTACTGTCTCGGTTCAATAGAGCTTTCCAACTTCCCTGGTTGGTGCACTCGGCTGCGACCCACCGCAAGATATCGACGGACATTCGACGTTCATGCGGAGGAACATGATCTCTTCCGGGGCAGTCTGTGGCCTTACTCAGCACCCTATGAAGGCCTGGATCTCTATTCGCTCTTTGGATAAATTTGACGGCCGCAGTAATATCCCGGCGGAGTCTCATCATAATGAAACGCGCCGTTCTGTCAGTCAGCACCTCAAACCAAGCCTACGCAGTGACCTCAAACCCTGGTGGTTCAAGCGCGCTTCGGAAATGGCGGCCACCGCCTTATCTGGCAATACTCGCAAGCTCTTCCAACTCATTCGAACCACTGGACACAGAAAGTCTGGTGTCAGTGAGACAATTTGCGAAGCGGATGATTCAGAGATGACCAAGTTACAGAGACGCTTGGATCGATGGGCCGAACTTTTCCACTCTCAGTTCAATTGGCCTTCACCGTCCAATTTTATGCCCTGCGAATACAGTTGCTCATCCTGGGTCCTCACACTTGATCCACTCAGCGGAGCGGAAGTTTGTCTTTCGATTCGACACTTGAAAACATTCAAGGCTTCCGCACAGAAGGACTTCCTCCGTAGCTTTTCAAATAGATAAGATCAGTTATTAATCGCCAGCTAATCTCAATGTACTCCAAAAGCTGGCATAAATAAAAGGTGCATTCTTCATGGGGCGAGTCAGTTCTCGTCCCGGAATTCGTGAAGGATGCTAGCAATTCATGCACCAGTCACCGGGGATTAGTCTCCTTTCGTTGCCTTCAAGCTGTTGGCATCCATGCTACTCCGTAGACTATCTCTCATGCGCGAGTCGCCGTACTGTGAAGAACATGCTGGCTTCCGACCTTGCCGCGTGTTTGGGGATCAAATATTCACACTCCGTCAAATCCTGGAACACCGCCACGTTTACCAGAGGCCTACCATGGTTGCATACCTGGACATCCGTGCCGCATTCGATTCAGTTAATGGACCTGCACTGTGGCGTTGTTTACTAGAGAACAGTGTCCCAGAAAAGTACATTGCCATCCTATGCGCACTGTATTTCCACGTCTCTTGTAAAGTGAGGGTATACGAAATGCATTCGTCTTCCTTCGCTGTCAATATCTGTGTAAGCCAGGGCTGCCTTATGTCCCTAGTCCTCTTCAATTTCGCGATTGAAGACGTCTTTTCGTGAGCTCTAGACGGTTGCCAAAATTTTGGAATACAACTATTACCGGGCAATCGAGCAACCGGGTTAGGGTTAGGGTTAGGACGAAATCCGTCTGGTGCTTTTCCGGACTAGGCTGTGCTATGTAGCATGTGGACCACTGGGATGAAAACCTCAAAAAAAGCACAACTAAATTCCTGCTACTTACAAGTAACAAACAGAAAGGTTTATTGTATTTCTATTTGTCCATGCCGAGTAGGTGTCAAATACCGGTCCTCAATATAAATATTGAAGGGGGTATCTCTCCGTGTCATAGTGGACACGGGGGCGGGGTTTCCATTGCGCGAATGGTCGATGGAGTTCCGCTAACCTAGTCATCGACTGTCATGCAGATAGTCAGAGGATATCAATTGAAGGTGAGGGAGTACAGCGGATTCGAAACCGCGTAGGGGTGGGCGTCTTCTCGGTATACTCAGCTCGCATGCGACTGGTGGTGGTCGCAAGTCAGCGAAGCGCCGTTACGGCGTAGAGCAGACAAATTATTATCGAGTATTATTAATCATTCGATGTTCGTCGTGGAGGGGGCTGCGGAAACAAAAGCCGATAATGATATCCTTAAGAGACTCGGAGCCAGAATCGATTTGAGAAGGGACGTGGTAATTGTGGGCGACGAAACAGTCGAGAGGAGCACAGAACTATCTAACCGAATGGGTGTCGTGAATGTGTTACCTGATTGCACGAATCGCACGATACGGAAAGGGCTAAAGAGTTATGCCAACTTGTTCACCGATGTGAATGATGATTACGGGTTCTGCAACTGGTAAGATATATGAGCGTTTTTATGCCGTAAATGACCGATAAACTTCTGTTAAACCGCATAAACGAGCTGATGCGGGGTAATATGTGATCATTCTGTGTGAGTCTCCAGAATTTAGAAACTTCACGCTGAAAATATGGCAGCTTTCTAAATTCTTTTGAGCACGAAATGGAGCAAAACTGGTACGCAAATAAATCTCGTAAGCAATGTTACCCAAACGTGTGCTTTGGCCTTTCATCCTAACCTGGAATACTGTGCAAGAATGACGTGAAATTGCAGAGAGGCCTTCCTGTAGATGTGTAAGTGTATAACCATTTAAATTTTTTACATTTTGTATGTCACCTATACACATTGGCCATCGCAATCCTCTCTTTATGGTTGCAATTTTAGCATGTGTACTGCCGGAGCGAGTACAAAAGGCGGCGCACCCAGGATTCGAACCCCTGCCGCACCTCTGGCAATTCGGATCGCTACTACTAGAATATATTCGGATTATGCATGCCGCTTATATGTTAGCTGAAAAACCGTCCGTCAGAGCAATATCAAAACGAAGATTGTAAAAAGCAAAGAGTTCCTCGCACTTCTTAAAGTTTTTATAGGTCAATAAAGCTGCATAACACGAGTTCAGCCTTTTATTTCGCCAGCTTTTGCATAATTTGACCGTTACAGGCAGTAGAATAATTGTCCATTACCGGTTGCGTGCAATACAGATTGCGTTTTCGTGCCATTTCGTTCTTGCTACGAGAGGACGAGGAGTGCCGATGGCTGGAAAGGATCCAGGATATGGCTCGTAATCAAAACCAGTGGAGGATCTGTGTGTATACCTGTTTAGATTTAAAAGCCTTATGCCCACGGATTGAAAACGGTAAATAAAAATATTACCGTATGCAAAATAAGGAAATATGCTCCGTTTTCTTACTACGGCACAATCGCTGAACTGTATTGCTCACCTTCAGTTAATGTGCCATGATGACGATGCGGTGTTAAGCCTGTTTTCTTTTTGTGATTTCCATGGTGTTGCTTGAATCTATGTCTATTTAATTGACTATTACCTAATTATTATTAGCATTACGAAGCTACCACTATCGGAACTCGTGACGTTAGGGCTCAGACTTGCCCTCTGCAATGGCAGTATCTTGCTCGGCGGTGAATAATGAATAGGGTTGCATCGCAGGTGGCTTGCAAATCAAGAAGGCCCACCGCTATCACCTGCAGACTGATGGCTATTTGTGCAAGTCGATGATGTCGAAATATCACGGCCTCGATTTCTGATGCAGTGAGGGATGGATCCCACTGACGGATCCAATTAGGACGATAAGGTTAACTGAGGCTTTTTCGGATAAATGTTCGCACAGCTGACTTGAAATCTGCTGCGACTAACACTTCACAAAATACGCGCAAAATATCAATCGTTCTCGTTACACTTCACCGGTTGTAGAATCAATGATAACACATGTGTCACAAACTAGCTGGTTTACTGACACACCAGTAGATACGCATCGCAAACAAGTACCAGTATCGTTCTTGGGAAGTTTATGCGACCTGATTCGACTTGTAACGCTATGGTGAAATGTGTATTACTTGGTCCAGATGCGAAAGACTGATTGAAATGCGGCTGCTTCGCTACGGTAAAGCATTGGCACTTGCTGCGTATGAGTTCCTGTGGAATTCCGCGACTGAATAATCCCCGCGATCCCTATCACCGTTACCGAATTGTACGCAAACCTCGTTGCAACTGATGTCCCAACTAACATGCCGTTTGCTTTGTTGGCACTCTTGTCAGCTAGATGTGGGACGCTGTTGACAGCCCCTCTTTAACTATTGAGCTAACATGATTGTATAATGCTTATAAATTGGTAGTTGTCTCGTTGTTCAATACAAGTAGGCGATTTAACGTCACTGAAATAATTCTAGGTTCTTTGCGGCTTAAAATGTAAGCACTGAAGCTTAGCGCCAACTAATGGAGACATCCGTGCTTACACTCTCATTGCGCGTGCTTGTGGCCCACTAACTCTGGGATTATCTGTGTCGACATCAGAAGTGCGTCATGGATTTACCTGCATAGTTACTGCAACAAAACGGAACTAATCCAGGAGCTACAGCGGATGCATTGCTAAATGTGGCACGAGTATTTCTTTGCCGTGTGCATGATTTCATTGATTCACCCTTGGTTCAAACCAACTGATCACGTGCACTGCAGCCCAGCACAGAGGATGTCAAGCGCGTCCGACGTCGACACGGGAGATGAATTTAGTGCGCTTGGACATCCGGATGCAGGTAGACCTGTGTTGGGATCCGCCGGAGAACGTCAGCCTCATTTGGGATCTAGTTCAATAGTACCCACAAGACATCGGAGCTATGACAAACAGCTTGATCTAACTGGATTCGATGAGAAGATGCCACAGAACAACCAGAATGATGACTCGCGTTTGCCACAGAGAACAACTCACAATCGACACAGTGACGCGGTGCGACATCAATCGAAAAAAGCAAAGAAGCATAGGACCAAGGCAACTCACCGGAAAGGCGTGGATGCTTTCAACGACTTATTGCCTGGATCTGAAACCGAGGAATTGGAGAGGAAATCTGGTGGAAAGCGCAAAAAGAAAGAAAAACGGGATGTTCGAGATTCTCGATCCGACAAGTCGAGAGAAAGCGTCATCAGATCGAAGGATGCCATCGATGTCCCTGGCTTAGTTGAAATACCGACAGAAAAAGCTGACCTTGAGAGCATTATGTCCGGAGATCACAAAGTCCGAGAGGCAACAATGCCGGAAGTCGCACCAAATATTGCCACCGGGGCACAAGTAATAATAAAATTACCAATTAAAGTGTTGGCAATCCTCATGGAGCTGAATCTACTTTGGTGGTTTATGCAACTTTTCCTTTTCGTTTGGATGACCACCTGTGTGGATTACCAACTACGTGTGCGAGCACCGCTCGCTGAATTCCCCGGTTACAGTCCATTGAAAATGCCTTGGTTGCCAAGCCAGTTGAATATGCGGAGTCGACTTTTAGCGGCATGGCTAACGTTAGCTTTCGTCTATTTACCGTTGGTGTTATGCCACATGTCGAGGTTTTACGACCGTCAACCGTAAGTTGCGAGCGATTTATTCATTTGTTGGTTCTGATGCGTATACTCGCATGGCTGTGTGTTATACTCTCGGGATACAGGTGTCAGTGGATTCAGGCTATAGCGGGTCAGTCATTGCTTATCACATATTTACACGAACTTCTAGATTCATCCTTTGACTGTGTGCTGATTCTATGCAGTTTGCAAGTGATACTAGTTACTTTTTATTTGTGACGCTCCGGGGTATCCCCAAATGATCTGCACCGTTCCGGAGTGGAATTGCGAGGCTGTATTCTTTGGAAGCGCGTTCAGTTCGATGATTAGAAAGGCACCCATGCGTGCTTGAGCTAATGCCGTTGCCTGAGTCCTCACTACATACATATCAGAGTTAGGCAAGCAACCCTTACCGAGTCTTTGCTGTTGTGAGTCCGCGACCATCATCATCCTCATCATCGTGATCAACAGTAGTACATCATGCGTTGGAACTGATGCTACACTGCTGTATAACTATGGTGTCCGATGGAACGAACACTAATAAGGGAAGAGAAGGGGGACTTACTTTTAAACCTTAATGCCCTAAGTAAACATTCAGAGTGAATGTGCCTACACCTTGTCAACAACATACCATCGCAAAGGGCTGACTATCGTGCAGGGATAAGGCGGTGTCCGCAAGAGAGCTACCTTACGACTTTCACTGCGTCGCGTCATAATCAGCTGTTACCCCACGGATTACTCAGCAACACGCACACTATAAACACACAGTTCGACGAGGAGACGGTAGCAGATACACCACTGCTGTTGCCTGCGTGCCATGTGCAGTAACATTTCAATCCATGTACAAGGCGGGTCTCGTGCTAACAGCACCGAGTTGGGTCGCCAGTGATTTCAATTCCCGCCGTCAAGTTTGCTGTTGCCCACATCGAGCCTTATGCTTCCATGCATGTGGCAAACAAAACAGTGCCCACCTCGGTAAGCGGTGGAAGACATGTACTGTGTGCCGAAACATGGTTATTGTTAAGTGCTATTTGTTACTTTGAAATAATAGTTTGATTATTACTGCTTAACACTCGTCTACGCACATCATCGATGCGGACACACTGGTGCCACCCGACACCAGCGATGCTTCGCCGACAACGATGATCAAAGTCTTGAAATCGTGGAACTTTCTCATATCGATTGGGTCGAACCTCACTTCCAAATAATATGGCTGCCTTCATTATGGCTTTGTAACCACCTTCTTCCAGACCGAGGGAATCCCTGTCTAACACCACAGATGTCACAGATACCAAAAGACAGTTCTAGCTTTTGCAATACGCGAACTGGCTTCCGTAGTTATCGGTCCATCATTGCTGCTGCAGCTACAAATATAAGTGAAGTGACCAATTACCTCGTGTTCCTCATGGTCAAGAGATTATCAATTGGCTGGTGGTTTTGTAACAACACTTAGGAATTTGAAAATTAGGAGCGAAGGCCAAGTGACAGGTCGGCTGTAAAGAGGTTATTCAGGGTTGCATTTTACTTTGACCATGATCATATAGTGCAGGCACTTTCTGCAGGCATCCGTTTGCTTTAAATATAATGGCTGATTCAGTCGGTGTACATGCGCAACCACCATGCGGTGTTTCATCAGCTTCCCTATTTCGATAGACACACACGCATTCTGGCTGTACATCGTCCAGGTGTTGCTGCAGTAAGAGCTGAAGTTTGTGTCTAAAACGAAAGTCCGTGTAAGTCATCAACCTATCCCTCATCGGTACTCCAGCAGTCCATTTGTGACTGATATTCTTGTTTATCATTTTAATGTGACACGCTCAGTCCAGCCCTCGGCCTCTAGCATTGATACAATATGTCTTTCTCGAACATAACCCGTGTCTGATTGCCGTAGGGGAGGATTAACCTGTAGGTTGTAGGTGCCCAGCTTGATCACAATTGTCAGTTGACCGTTTCCTCAAAAGTAAGCATCCTGTCTTTTAGGGACGATCACCTAATTGATGCACAAGCGCAAAATTTATGTATTGTGCACAAGACAACGGACTACGCGATAATACGATGTCGACTCGTACAGGAGCATACACACATGAAAAGGGAGTTTCGCTTACGCTACTTTTGCTCTTTGGTATGGGATCAAGAAGACCAACAAACTACCTTGTTTCGATGGTGGTTCTGGATTTTACTGCTTTTGAAGTCTTAGCTGTCGTTTTTACTGGTAGGTCAGCAATATTGGGTGCCAACAACTCCTATCAATCTGCAAACATCCTTCACACATACACTAGGCTGTTCGCTCCGAACCGATGAACAATCGACACCAACCATCTGTGAGGTATTTGTGGTGAACACCACCGTGACTTGGCAGTTTGCAGAACGGAACGGTACACCGTGACCGGATCACGCGGGAATCATTCTGATGCGGTCAAGCAGCTCAAGAAATAGAGTGGATAGCCGATAAATCAATGATTGTTGAAAGTGACGGAGTCCTGACTTACTATGAGTGATTATCGCATTCCGCATAGATTTAAAGTGTCAAGGATTTTTGGCAAACCACAGGTAGTTACACGCACTAGGCCGTTAACTCCGAACCGACAAAGATTGAACATCCTATTATCGTGGAAGTACTCGAGGTGAACACTCTTTCACACTCACCGAATTCACAAGTCAGCCCAAATGTTGCATTCATATTACGAGCTATGGTCAATGAGGCAACAATACTTCGCATCATAGACCTGATCAACTTAACCAGTGGTTTGTTCGCACAGCTGCAACTTTGACCTCGCGCCTCTGTGCAGTGATGATGATGATGTGTCAGCTGTACGCCGTAATGGTGCTTCTCTACCGCGCGACTACCACAAGTCACACGTGATCTGAGTATACCGCGAGGACGCACACCCCTACGAGGACTCGAACCGATAACGGTATGGTCGCACATCAGGCGCGCAGACCCCACGACTCTGTGCAAGCACGTAATTACACCGAGGTGTCTGCCATGGCTTTAGAATTTACCCAAATTCAGCCAGTGTCTCACAATTCACTGTGCGGAATCGACGAACAGTTAGCACAACAGATGGTTTCCGCCACCGAAACAAACGCTACATTGTCGCCTAACTTGATATGCCCTAACCGTGGAAGGATTTTTGAAGCATCGATCCTTTTATTATCGGCACGAAGACACATCCAATTAGTTAGTTATTTGTACGGTGCCGTTACACCTTGCTATAGGCTTAGTTTTGGTGTGTTGAGATTGTTCGGGAGGGTTTGGTTGGTTGCAGCAGCTTGTGAGATTAAGAGAACCAGTTCAATAACTAGCTCTTGATTGCTGGTTTAGCTCATCCGGATAACAGGCCCGAGAACACTCAGTTTATTAGACACTGTCTTAGACATCTATGAAGTTGATGGTCCAGGTAAGTTGGATATACCATTGAAGGGATATATTGACGAATAGTTGAATAAGCCTGTCGTGGCACCTTACTTTGCTCACTCTCCTAAACGGAACGAAACTGTCCCAATGCTCGATTTTTACTAGTTTCGGTATGTACTCAATCGATCTCTGTGACGGCTCACAAAGGTGCCAAGAAGCACTAGACAGATTGGCACTTGTTGTCAGCCACTTCGGGCTTTGCTTTGCACCCTCAAATTTCAAAGTCCTTCCCCAAGATTGGCAGAGATCGCTTGCTGCGCCGACTATTGTTGGCGATCAGCTAGAGATTGTTCAGAAATTCAACATCCTAGGAAGATAGCGCTGGTGGAGTCGAAGACGAGGTCACGAACCATGTAGCAAAAGGTCGATGCGCTTTTGCTAACCTCTGCCATCTATGAGGCCAGCGCGACATAATTCTCTCCCCGAAGAGTAGAGCTTATAATGCAGCCGTACATTCGACCCCACTGTACGGTGGTGAAATCTGGCCCATTAGATCGGCAGACATAAAGAGTCTAGTTACCTTCGATCGCCGTTGCCTTCGCAGTTTGGCTCATATCTAGTGGGAACACCGGGTGAGCAATGAACGTGTTCGATGTCATGTTTATGGCACAGGAAGTCGAAATGAACCGCTTAGCACAACTATTTTACGAACCAGGTTTCGATGGCTGGGCCACATGTTGCACACGCCAGCACACCGGCTCCCGCGACAAGCGTTGTTTTCGCTCCGGGGGTGTGGATGGAAGAAGAGCAAAGGAGGTCATTCGATGAGATAGCCAAAAGGAATGAAACTCGTTAGTTTGAAGTTGGCCCAGCTGGAACCTCTCTGCCCCCTGGTCGGGGCCCGAAGGATGATGAACACGTTTGGCTTGATACATTTGGTAGCATTGTTACGAGTCGAACTCAGTAGTTTTTGTGCTGGGCGCTCCAGTGTTCCCCCTCCCGCTAAACCTCTTCCTCCAAGCACAATCTCATTTCTGACACCGATTGCGCAAGTCAGCCAAACAGCTGGACGCAAATTAAGATGATAGGATTCGCTGATGTGAACCCAATTTTGCTAACATTTTTTATATTTTGAACTTTCACCACAACCATCCTACAAGACCTGTTAAGCATTAGCTTTTTTACTCGTATAATGCTACTGTTCCATTGCTCTATGGAAGTTTCCCATCAGAAACAAGATAAACGTCATCCGAGGTTTGTTCATGAAGTAGCAGGTTGGTCTTTGGGACGATGTGCCTTATTATTTAGCCTTATATAATTTTGCATAGTAATTTTTTGGTGCACGGCAGCCGACTGGTAGCTTACCGGAACGATGCCCATCCGTTACCGGTAGCTCAGCCAGCTTGCACCAGTTGCATTTTTTTCGCCTTTTTTCTATGTATTGCGGCACAGTAGCTGAGGTGTTCCCCACCTCTAGCTAACGTGTATGTTGTTGATTTTTTTGATTGTTGACGATGTGCCTTTTCGGACCGTCCGATGTGCTCGTTGGCCTTTGGGATTGTCTGCTGAGAAAATGTGTGCCCGATAAACATGTAAACATTATCAAAGCGCTGTAGGTGCATAGTTCAGGCAAAGTGAGGGGTTATGGCAAACTGTCGCCGTCCTTCAA